GACTTGTATCTCTCACCTACACAAAAATCAATTTGAACTGCATCAAAACCCTTGAGATCAGACCAGAATCCATAAAATACTCTGAGGAAAATATAGGCAGAATGCTCCAAGATCTGGACCTCAAGAGTGTCTTTAATGATACAATACTACCGGTAAAGGCAACAGAATCCAACATAAATAAATGGGACTAAATCATATAAAGAGTTTCTGCATGGCAAAAGAAACATGGGCTAAAACTAAAAGACAGCTAAGTGAATGGGTGAAAATATTTGCAGTCACCACATCAGAGAAAGAGTTGATATATAAAGTACATATATGTCACCCAGAGTATATAAACCAGGATATGTAAAGTACTCACAAAGATGAACAACAAAAAATTTCAAAAAAACCCTATCCAAAAATGGGGAGAGGAAATTAACATGGACTTCTCTGAGGACAACCAATGGATGGCCGTGAAAAAAACACTCATCATCACTTATTTTTATGGAAATCCAAATCAAGACAACAATGAGATACCATCTCACACTAGTGAGACTGGCACATATCAAAAATACTGGGGACAATCTGTGTTGGCGTGGAAAAGTGAAAAAGGAACTCTATCCACTGCTGGTGGGAATGTTTTCTGGTTCAACTCAATGGAAAACAGTATCGAGGGTTCTCAGTAAACTTAAAATTGTCGTACAACCCCCAAATTCCACTTTTGGGTATCAATCCCTAGAAAAGAAAAAATATTCATTCAAAAGGACATACATAAAACATTATTCACTGCAGAACTCAGTACAATAGCTGAGATTTGGAATCAACCTAGATCAGTGGATCATGAAGATATGGTATATACCACAATGGAATACTAAGCAGTTGTAAGGAATGATGGAATCATGTGAATTACTGCAAGATGAAAGTGGAAGTGAAATGAAGTAAGCCAAAGGAAGAAGGGTAAACACAGGGCGATATCACTTATGTGTGGTATTAAGAGTAACTGTATGAGGAAATGTAGTGGTTTAAAGGGGGTCACCTAGATCACCCCAAGTCCCAAAATATAGGGAGGAGAAGGAAAGGGGGAGGGGAGGCAGAGAAGAGACAAATGAGAAGCAATAGAGGGCAAGGGCCAAGGTACATTGGTGGTGTTAAAGAGTGATAGAGCTAAATAGTCAAACCAGAGTCAACAATACTGAAATCATGAGACCCAATCATTAATAACCAAATTTAAAAAGTTGCCTTTTGAGATGGTAAGTTGAGGGTGAGGGGAGGGGTGGAAAAGGGAACCTGGGAACACTGGTGGAGGGAAGTTGACACTGCTGGTGGAACTGGTGATGAACACTTTATGTCTAAAACACAATGACAAATAAGTTTGTAAATCATAATGCTTTAGTAAAATAAAATTTAAAAAATTAAGGGGGGCATTAAAAAGTTTTGTATTCAAAGACAATTCAGTTACCTACTTATTGGGGATACATTAAGTAGAAGTGGAGGTGGTTGGTAGCAATTAAAAATCTGTAAGTAATATTGTTGAAATAAGCATAATGTATGATTGTACACATAGTTCCTATTTTTAATTGTAATCAATGCCTGGAAACTTTGTGGTAAATTTAATAAAAGAAAACCCTTTGGTTTACCACGGTTCCAAAGATACCAATATCTTTGAAATAAAGTTCTTGGCCTAAAATTAGCCTTGGACTTATCCAGAGGAACAAATTGACCGGATATTGTGCAAATATCAGTCTTAAAGTACACCTATACCATCAGAAAACAAGTAAAACATAAATTTGCCTACATGACTTGGGAAAGTAATGAGAAGAAATTTGAGCTGAATCTTGAAGGATGAATAAAGCTTTGCCCTATGAGGCTAGGTAACAGAGAAGGCATTGGTAGCAAAGCAAAGAGCATAGACAAAAACATAAATGTGACTGAGGTTTTGAAGAGAACATTCAGACAGGCAAACGTGGTTCTCGGGTACTAGAAATTATAACTATACTAACTAGATAAGATGAGGCAGTATCAGGAAAAATTTTGTACAATTTACATAATGCTGAAGCTAGTAAGAATCTTATTCTGTATGTGATAAGGAATCATCAGAAGATTTTAAAACACAAAATAGCACAGATGGAGTCATGTTTTGGAAAAAATAAGCTGCTGTTAGTATAGAAAGTGGAACTGGAGAGAGACCAGAGGCAGAAAACACAATGACATGGCTGTAGGAAACACTTAACTGGGCGTTGGGGGGTGGAGGTCTGACAATACAAGTGATGGTGGGAGATGGAAACTGATTTCAAGACATTTGTGGGTGGGGGATAGATTAGATAGGATTTATAACTAATCTGATATGCGTATAGGGATGAAATAGAATGCTTTTAACTGAGTGAAAAGGTTAACAGAAATGTGTTAATGCAATTAAAAAGGTTCAGAAAGAGAAGAATCAGGTTTGTGGTAGATAGTGCTCAGGGGACATCTTTTACTCACACAGTGCTAGAGTCAAACCTAAGGTTTCTGCATGCAAAGCCTGCACCACAGCCCTTTGAGTCAAATCCCCAGCATTGTTAATAGCTCCTCAAGTCATTTCTCTGTTTCAAGCCTAAAGTCCCTATTCAATCTACCAATATGCCATTTCGGTGGGGAAGGGGATGCAGTTTTCACGATCAAACCCAGATCTACTCATACACAGGATCTGTTCCAGTCCTCTGAGCAATCTCTCTGGCTCCCTGAATACTCTTTTAAAACATATTTTGGTTAGATTGGTGATAAAGCTCAGTTGTACAGCATTTGCCTTGCATATGTTAGGCACCGGGTTCAATCCTAGGTACCACAAGAACAAACTGACAACATGTTTTGGTTAAATACAAAAATGGTATTTAAAACCTCAACCCTTCCTACTTCTCTTACAACTCTCATGCATGTGCCCTTTGCTCTAGCCACATGGCATTTCAAGTAGTATATTTAACATGCCAAGATGTTTCAGGCTTTTACCTTTTCACTTGTTATGTCCCTTCTCATCCTTTTCTCACAAAGCTAATTCCTAGCTCAAATATCAAAGCACTAGGATGCTTTCCTTGACACTCTTCTACTTTTGTAATAAAACTATTCCCATTTCATGCTTAAATTGTGGACTTATTTCCCTAGTCAGTAAGGCACCTGAGACCAGAGAATATGTCTTCCCACATTTTATAGGGCCTATTAGTACTTGTCACATGAAATAGGCATTCAAAACTTATTTACTGAGAAAGTTTGAGCTTTAATGACATGTAGGTGGGGGAATACTCTATGTATACTACTGTATCAAAATGGCAGCATTAACAGTGGGATTCTTGTTTTAAAAAGGAGAAAGCTGGCCCAGGGATGTGGCTCAGTAGTAGAACATCTGTTCAATCTCTGGCATTACCCCACACTCTGAGTGTGAAATAAAAGTGTGCTACCTGACACACTACAACTAAGTGTGTGTGGCTACCACAATTAAAGTGTACAAACCTTCATTTGTGGGATACGGAAAACATAACATGAGACTATTATACAAATACAGTAGAAATGAGGGCCAGGATTGGCCCACAATTGGAAGCTTGCCACAAATTGCGTGGGAGAGGGCAGTTAGGCTAGAGAAAGGATCACTTTGGCAGTGATAGTTGGAAATGATCACTCTGGACAAGAATTGGGTACTGAAAGTAGGGTAGATAAAGGGATATACATGATAACCTTCCAGTACCTGTATTGCAAACCATAATGCCCAAAAAAGAAGAGAGAGAGAGAGAGAGAGAGAGAGAGAGAGAGAGAAAGAGAGAAGAAAAGTGCTTGGTGTAGATGCACACTGGGAGTGGGAGGTAGAAGGAGAAAAACTGGGGACATTGGTAGTGGGAAAAATACACTGGTAGAGGGATGGGTGTTGGAATGACTGAAACCCAATCATGAACAATTTTGAAACTGTGTATCTCATGGTGATTTAACAATTAAAATAAAGTGTAAACCAAGTATGTGAGCATCTTAATTTAGTATATCACCCCAGCCATAACAACAACAAAAGGGGGAAAACAAGCGATTAATAAGAGGCAAGAATTCTGGATCTAAAGCTAATTCAGGACAGCAAGGAATTGAGAACAGTCAAGGACAGAACTGTGAAAAACACCAACATGAAGGGGTGAGGAGGAAGAGATATAGGATATGGGAAGGCATAAAGGGAACTCTTGTACATGTGCAAACCTGACATAAACTCATGAGCATATATAGAGTAGGGAAAGGTTAGTCAAAGAAATGCAGGATAAAATTATTGAGCAGGTGAACTTTTAGGTTTTCATTATTGACACACGGCCAACTCAGGTTTGATTCCTCCGTCCCTCTCGGAGAGCCTGGCAAGCTACCGAGAGTAACCTGCCTGCACGGCAGAACCTGGCAAGCTCCCCGTGGCGTATTCAACATGCCAAAAACAGTAACAAGTCTCACAATAGAGACATTACTGGTGCCTGCTAGAGAAAATCAATGAATAACGGGAGGACAGTGCTACAGTGCTACACAGCCCCTATCTATATGAATACACAAAAAAAGAGGGAGCAATTAGAATAGCATTTTATATTCTATTTTGAGGTTTAAAATGGTTTAATCTTGTAGTTCTAAAACAAAATGAAAATCATGCTACTTTTTAAGTTATGTGAAGCTGTGATAAAGAACCAAGAGAGAAAAATTTAAAAAACTTTGGTAACTTTATTTTCTTAATTACCTCTTATTCAGGTATCAATTACTGTTTTTAAGTGTCTCACATAGACTTGAGAGGTAGGGATTTTCTTTTACTTAATTTCAGATTAGTTTGGGTAATGCATTAGTAATCTGAGTAATACTATTCACTGACAACACTTAAGAACTACAACTTTTCACTTATCATATTCTATGAGAGGAAACATTTCTACTGCATGTTACATTTAATTGCATACAATGATAATTTCTAATAAACAATGATATACTTTATAGTAAAGAAATCAACTGACAGAATTTTATTAATAAATATAAAACAATGAACTTACCCCTGTATCTGTATCAGATTTTGATGAACTTAAACTTTCCTGAGAAGGTGAAGGGGACACACGTCCTAAAACCAATAAAATAACTGAAAAAATATATACATACATACACCTATCCACACACAAAATACTAATGACGCAGTAATACTAACAGAGATGTTAACATTCTGGAAAAAAATATATTTCTAAACATGTGAATTTCAACTCTTCAAGGATCAAAATTTTTGCTACCGTTTCACATAAGTATTTTTTTGTTTTGGCACCACACCTGGAAGTGCTCAGATCAAACCCACGGAGCCTGAATACAAACCCAGTATAGCATCCTTGGGCTCTTGTATTGAACCATGTCCTATAGCCCTCTGAACCATCTTTCTGGTCCCTTATATTTTCATATAATAGCTCAATCATTTCCCTAACTTAATATTTAAAGATTAAAAAAAGAAGTAAAACTTCCAAACATCTCTAAATTTTAGCATCCACAAATGAAATACCTTCGGTATTGTATTTCATCCTCATGTTGTTGAAATAATCAAAAGCATTTTTTAAAGCCCATATTCTCACTACATTGTCTTGTCCAGCTGAGGCAAGTAACCGGCCACAGTGAGAAAATTTCATGGTCCAAACAGCTCCCTATGAAAACAAAGTAAGGCTCAAAGTTATTACATTAAAAGCTGACACAACTTTTAAACAAAAGTAAAATCTATGTCAAATTATATATATATTGAGATAATGGTCATGTTACTAACACCACTTGAGACCAACAGTCCAATGGTGTTAAAATACCACTGCAGCACTGTAGCACTGTCCTCCCGTTGTTCATCGATTTGCTCGAGCGGGCCCAGTAACAACTCCATTGTGAGACTTGTTGTTACTGTGTTTGGCATATCAAATACATCACAGGTAGCTTGCTAGGCTATGCCATGCAGCAAGATACTCTCTGTAGCTTGCCAGGTTCTCCGAGAGGGGCAGAGGAATTGAACCTGGGCCGCATGGCCGCGTGCAAGGCAAGTGTCCTACCCACTGTGCTATTGCTCCAGCTCCAAAAGGAGGCTATAATGAAATATAAATTCATTCACATATATATCAGTAACAAACTGAAAAAATACTTGGGGCTGGAGAAATAACTTAAGTAGTACAGCATAAATCTAAAATGTGTAAGACCCTTAATTTAATTCCCGTCACCACATATAGCTTTTCCATCCACAAGGAGAAATATTTAGACAGGATAAGATATTGCAGTTTTCCATAATCTAATCTAGTGGTTTGCAACCACAAATACACAGTCAATAGCTGTAAAAGGCTCAACAACGCTCCCCCCCCCCCCGGCGGGCACCACAACACCGGAGAATTCTCCGGGCCCCAAACTGAGCCAGTATCACCGGGGTGCCCCAGATGGAGCAGGTGCAGTCTCCCCGCCTTCTCCAGATGGAATCCTGGCAGCCATGAGCTTCTACAAGCATGCTCCGGTATGTGGGTACCAGGACTATTCTTCCTAACTACACGACTGCTCATGCAGCTGCACCACCTTTATGATATACAAAGTGAGCAATGAAAATCAGATGCTCTAGCATCTGCCCCAAAAGGCAGGCTTGAATGGTGGTGGGAATATCTAAGCAAAATATAATGCCCAAAACTATAGAGTATCTGAACAATTATCTGCCGTAGAGGCAGGGTAAGGACTGCGATGGAAATGGAGGGGATAATGGGGATATTGGTGGTGGAAAATTTGCACTGGTGGAGGGATGGGTGATAGATCATTGTATAGCTGAATATCAAACATGAAAGCTTTGTAACTGTATCTCATGGTGGCTCATGCCTCTGGACTGTGAATTAAGCTATGGCCCCGTGTCACCTCCGGAGGAAAGGGCATTGTCCTTTCTGCCTTCTTCCCCTCAGGAGCATGGTGACCGCCATCTTTCAGAGCCTATTGGAGTGAGAGCTACGAGCCTGTAGTGACAAGACATGCAGGGCCTCATGAGGTGGGGGCTGGAACTGGCCCTTTTCCCTGCCCCAACGAGACCCCAAGTTGTCACCCACAACCAGCTCCTTCGGCTCCTGAGTGGCCATGATCCCAGAGGCACAGAAACCAATCTCAGAACCCAGTGGCTTCTGGCAGAAATCCCTCTGGACTTAATTACTAAAATATCTGTAGCACTGCACTGTCCTCCCATTGTTCATCAATTTGAGCGGGCCCAGTAATGTCTCCATTGTGAGACTTGTTGTTACTGTGTTTGGAATACTGAATATGTCATGGGTAGCTTGCCAAGCTTTGCCGTGCGGGCAAGATACTCTGAGTAGCTTGCCGGGCTCTCTGAGAGGGGCGGAGGAATTGAACCCGGCTCGGCAAGGCAAAAGACCTACCACTGTGCTATCGCTCATACTAAAATATCAAAAGTCCAAAATTCTGCGGCCGCGTGACATCATATGCTCTTCATTATCAGCAATAGAAAACTAATTATCAATGATGCCTTCTCGGCAGGTCTGAATGTTGGGGGAAAATTCCAAATAATAATGGTAAGTCTTCTGTCGAAAAATTGAATGTAATCAAAGTAGAGAGAGAGAGTAAAGTGGAAAACATCTGCCACACTGGCAGGGGCAGGAGTGGGATGTGGGGCATACTGGGGTTCATGGCGGTGGAAAATGTGCACTGGTGAATGGATGGGTGATTGATCATTGTATGACTGAGACTTAAACCTGAAAGCTTTGTAACTATTCTCACAGTAGTTCAATAAAAATAAATAAATAAATAAATAAATGAGAGGCTCAACACCACTAACTCAACTCCAAACTACCAACACAGATTCCAAAGCGTTTCCAGTTCTGAAATGGCCCGAAAACTTCATTATGAAAGCAAAAATCCTAATCTGTGATTTCAATTTCCTAGTTTCAATATAAGGGGGAGTGGGCAGAACACTCAGCATAACAAAAACAACCCCTAGACTGAGGGAAGAATAAAGCCCACTTTGGCACTGACTGATATGCTGAGCATTTACAGGTGGTATTAGGTTGGACAATGGGTACCTTTGTGTGCAGAGCTGAGGACTCATGAGTATATACAAGTGGTGTATGAATGGTATGGTCCTATCCTGTTCTTCTCCCCAGACACATGCTTTTATAGCATATGGACAGATTTCTTAGACAAATTCCAAAACCAGGTAAATGTATGTGTGTGTGTGTGGGGGGGGGGGGGTTGGGCGGGGGTGGGGAGGTGGGGTAAGGGCAGTAGTTTTAAAGAATGTGAACCCATACAGAAGGTCAAACCATTTAAGAAGAAGTCAAACTCTATCATTATAAATACTATTTTGGCTATTATTATAACATATATATCCATGGAGATCAAAATGATTTTCCAAGTTAAAGCAACAGGCTGAAATATCATTCATTTCCACAAAAATTAAGTATACTAAAAAAAGATAGTTTGTGATCCACTACAATGAGATTCTACTATAACAGAAATAAAAAATCAAGGCAGTATATGAAAATTCAATAGTTTCTTTTTTAAAAACTTCCTTAAGCTATTTTAATAAATTTAATGTAGCACTATAGCACTGTAGTACTGTCCTCCCATTGTTCATTGATTTGCTTGAGAGGGCACCAGTAACATCTCACAACAAATTGTGAGACTTATTATTACTGTTTTTGGTATATCGAATAGGTCATGGGTAGCTTGCCAGGCTTTGCTATGTGGGCAAGATATTCTCTGTAGCTTGCCGGGCTTTTCCAGAGGGGTGGAGGAGTAGAAACCGGGTTGCCTGCATACAAGGCAAACGCCCTGTGCTACCGCTGTGCTACCGCTCCAGCCCCAATTTAATGATAAGTAGTAAAATTTAAATTCCAGGGCTTTCGGGGTCCTACATCACTAATTATCAGGGAGATGCAGATCAAAACAACAATGAGATACCATCTCACACCACAGAGACTGGCCCACATCCAAAAGAACAAAAGCAACCTGTGTTGGCGTGGATGTGGTGAGAAAGGGACTCCCCTTCACTGCTGGTGGTAATGCCGACTGGTTCAGCCCTTTTGGAAAACAGTATGGTCGATTCTCAAAAAAATAGGAATTGAGCTCCCATTTGACCCAACAATACCACTACTGGGAATATATCCTGGAGAGGCAAAAAAGTACAGCCGAGATGACATTTACACTTCTATGTTCATTGCTGCACTACTCACAATAGCCAAAATCTGGAAAAAATCTGAGTGCCCGAGAATAGATGAATGGTTAAAGAAACTTTGGTACATCTACACAATGGAGTACTATGTAGCTGTTAGAAAGAATGAAGTCATGAAATTTACATACAAGTGGTACTACATGGAAAGTATCATGCTAAGCGAAATGAGTCAGAGAGGGACAGACATAGGAAGATTGCATTCATCTGAGGAACATAAAGTAACAAAATAGGAGACTAACACCCAAGAATAGCCGAGATAAGTACCAGGAAGTTCACTCAATGACTTGGAGGCCAGCCGCACATGCTAGGGGAAAACGCAGCTCAGGTAGAGAAAGGAGCACCTAGTAAAGGGTATTGGGAGGATCCTCCCAGGATGGGAGGTGCATGCTGAAAGCAGACTATAAACTGAACATGACTGCAACTCAATGCCTCTTTAGCAAACCACAGCACCCCAAAGGAGAGAGAAAACAAAAGGGAATGCCCTGCCACAGGGGTGGGGTGGGACGGGGGAGATGGAGGGTGGGAGGGATACTGGGAGCACTGGAGGTGGAGAATGGTCACTGGTGGAGGGATGGTACTCAATCATTGTATAACTGAAACACAAGCGCAAAAAATTATAAGTCTAAAACTGTATCACATGGTGTTTCACTAATAAAAATAATAATAATAATAATAAAGTATCATGAAGAAAAAAATAAAATTTAAATTCCAACTGAAGGTTTGAGAGATAGGGTGTACGCCTAGTATTAGTCCCACATGATGTCACATGGTCCCCCCAGCATTTTCAGTTGCAATCCTGGAGGTCACAAAGCAATACCAACTATGGGGTCCCTGGCATCATGTGGTTGGAGCTGTATTGCATCCCTGGGCCCTTGTACTGAACCAATGGCCGAGATGGCCAGAATTGCTAATGGGGCCCCAGGGTCTCCTGGGAAGTGCTTGGGGACTTCCCTCAAAAAATTTTCAACTAGGACGCCAGAACAATAGCATAGCAGATAAAGAGACTACCATGCATGCAGCTGATCCAGGGTACCCCAATGGTCTCCCAAGCACTACCAGGAGTGATAATTGAGTGTAGAGTCAGGAGTAAGCCCTCAGCATTGCCAGGTAGGCATGCCCCCACAAAATTTTAATCAGGCTGATATCTGACTTTTCTTTTCTTGGAAAAAGGCTGGCAGAGTTTGGGCCACACTGCAGTGCTATTTCTGGCTCTAGGCTTGGGGGACCATACTCCGTACAGATTAAACTACAACTGGCCACACATAAGGCAAGTGCCCTAACCTCTGTGCTATTTCTCTTAATCCCATTTGATATGCTTATGGCTGCTTCCTGTCAGCTAAGAAAACTTTTAGATTTAAAATCTAAAGACGGTCAGGGATGTGGCTTAGTATGTATTTGAAACGCAGTTCAAAATCTGACACCACACACAAATACACATAAATCTAAAACAGACATTCCCAGATCAAAGCCCCATGGCGTCATTTATTTAATTCTAATTTTACCACTGTTGTCCCTACACTAATAGCATTTTCAGGGAGTAACTGTAATATAATGTCTGTACTAACTACTCTGGCATATTTTAACTTCGATAGAGGTCTTGTACCTCCATAGTCTCACACTATCTTAGTTGTCACTTTACAAAATATATTAAGATTCTGAAACATCTGTATAAATTATTGATTTAGGGGGCATATCTGGCAATGTTCAGGGCTTACTACTGACTCTGCACTCAGGGTTCACTTCTGGCAGTTATTGGGGACCATATGGGAACAGACCTGGTACAGGTGCTTCCAAGACAAATGCCCTAGCCTCTGTACTATCATTCTGACCCCCTGAGTCAAAAAGGCTTAAAAGGTACATTTAAAAATTTTTTTATTAGTGAAACACCATGAGGTACAGTTGTAGACTTACATATTTTTTGTTTGGGTTTCAGTTATACAATGATCAAGTACCCATCCCTCCACCAATGCCCATTCTCCACCACCAATGAACCCAGTAGCCCTCCCACCCCTCTATCCCCCCCCCCACTATTTCCTTTCCTTTTGTTGAGATGACTGTGGGTTATACACACATGGTTGCAATGCTTGCACACTTGGTGAATATTATATGTTGGATATTACGCACTTCTTTTCTGGTGCTGGGGATCAAACTCTCAGCCTCATGCCTGTAAGGCAGTCAGTTATGCAAACTCAGCTATTTCTGAGCCCCACGGGGAAGCATTTTAAACATTTTTTGAGGTGCAAGGCATCATACCCTGGACTTCACACACTTAAGACAAGTGTTTTGCCACTGGGCTACATCCTTAGGAGTCCTAAACATTTTTCAAAGAAACAGATCACCCTTAAAATGCTTTAAAGGTTGGAAGCCTGGTATAGCTATCTTAATGATGAGAGGTCTAGAATTTATGTATTCAATAACTCACTTCTTTACAAATAATTTAGAGATAGATTCTGCTTTTACTATTTATAACAGTAATTTTATACTTCTTTAGCCAGTCTCTAAAACTGTATAACAGATAAGCTTTACAGAAATAAAGATATTGCTTTCAACAAAGAGTATCAATAATGAAAATTAAGAAAGGTTGCTTACCATGTGTTCACCACTAAGATCTTGTACCACTTTGATCTGATCAAAATCATAAGGTCCTTTGAAACCATGTGCTGCTTTGAATTTAACTGGCCTTGTATATGGCATTCCTTCATCATCACTTGATGAAGGATCATCCTGATCAGTATGAAACACTAAATAGAAACACAACAGAAATCATCACCAACTAATGTAGACATAGCTACTATCATATTTTCATATTCACTGCTTATCAAAAATGCAAACAGAAAAAGCAAAATCTATTACTAAATAAGATACTAATTAAAAGCATGGAGTTTGCTGCCAAACTACCACAGTCCAAACCCAACTAGCAGTTATCTCTGTTACATTAGGCTAAGTAATGGATCTTTCAGTACCTCAATTTTCTCATCCATAAAGTAGATAATAATAGTATGTACCTCACAGGATGTTTATAAGGATTGAGTTTGACACAAGTGGAAGTGTCATATTAGAACACTGGCATCACTGGCATAGAATAAGTATAAGTTTATTGAAGAAAACAGAAACTATAATGATGAAAGAAGAGATTAAGATGGACATCAAATAGAAAATTTATTTAATTCTGAGCATTCAACTAATTCACATCGTAAAACTATACAAATATGTTTAAAATGCAAAATGTTGTCTTCCCAGTCATAAATTAAATAACAAGAATAATTTATCATATTGAAATAATAAGGTACTAGCTTTATTGAAAGGTTTTTTTGGTGGTCTCAAGGATAGAACCCAAAGCTTCCTACTCTAAAGTATGTCCTCTACTGCTGAGATACAATCCCAGTGAAAGATCTAATATTTTTAATTAAACAGAAAGCTTCTTGATTGAAGATTATGCTCAGATCGTAAAGTGCTTCCCTTGCATACAAGAAACATGGGTTTGATCCCTAGCACCAAACACACCAAATGATGTTTCTTATACTTTAGAAGATTCCAAATACTTAGCTGAAATATTCTATAGCTCACTTACCTTCATCTCTAACACTTTTAACTTTATTTACAGCACGTTCACCATATTCTTCTGCAAGGTGTTTTGCTCTTTTGACTGATTTTCCTAGGAACTTCTTTAGTTGAGTCCTTATCAAAAATACAAAAGTAATAAAAAACAAAACCAAACCTCAAAATATATCTTATTAATTCAAATAGACACAGAAGTTCAATAACTCACAGATAATTCGTTTACTGTGACCAGTGTCTGTATATATGCAAGTAATATAATTAAGTTTCAGTTTCCCAGGAGGCATTCCTAAATACAATATAATGAAAGTATGCATCTCATCTCATGCTTCCATAAATAGATAGGCCTTACTTACTGCATTGTAAAGGATTTAAGTCACAAATATTATATACTAAGATTTTAAATCACAAAAACCTATAACTCAGGGGTAAATTTTTACTAATTTATGGGAGTTAATGACATTAGAGACAGCATTTGGAAAAGTTCGTAAGCTATATGTATACAGACGTTCACTACAGCATTACTTGGAGATGGGTAAAAAAAAAAAACGGAGTTTCTGATTATACAAGTGACTCGGTTGTATCCACTTTCTCTTTCACAACAAGATTATTGTAAAGTAGTTATTTCCTTGGATTGTTTTATCATTTTCAAAGACTATATGAATCTATCCTGAGATGGTACCATAATTTTTCTGTTGCTCCTGTTTGGTTTATTTTGGGGGAGGGAAATAGCATTGGAATATTACATGGCAGGGGCCAGGGATGTGGTTCAGGGGTAGAGCACTTGCCTTGCAAGTGAGGGCCTGGGTTTGATTCCTGGGCCAGAAGTAGCCCCTAAGCACCATTGGGTATCGCCCTCACACTTAAAAAAGCATGGCAGATACCTTTAGGATAAAGTTTTTGTTTGTTTGGCTTTTGGTTCATATCTGACAGTGCTTAGGGTTTACTCCTAGCTTTATGTTCAGGATCACTCTTGGCGGGGCTTGGATGACCATATGGGGTTTTGGAGATCTAACCCAGGTTGGCCATGTGCAAGACAAAAGCCCTCCTGCTGTACTCTCTCTCTGCTCTCAAACAAAGCTTTTTATATTATAAAAAGGAGAAATTTTCATCATCGAGAAATAGATAAGTGATAGTGTAACAGAGTATCAATAAGATGACATATAATAAAATGAGGGAAGTCTCAGTTCTTTTGGGTAGAGAGGCACATATTCAGTGGTGCTCACGGGACCATATGCATTGCCAAGATCTAACCTGGGTCAGTGATGTACTATCTCTTTGCTCCAAGCCTTGGATCGGTAAATGTGCCTAGTTATTGGATTTTAGGGGGAATTTGCACATGTGGTTAGTTATGTCTGGAATAGTCCTTCCTTGGCCAGTATCTACTCATAATTTAGGTCTCTGATCAAACATCTCTCAAAGGCCTGCCTTACTCTACTGACAAGACTTTCCTATTACATAGTCTCACAGCACCCATATTTTTCTTTATAGCAATTGCTACACATGAAATTAGATTTATTTGTGCAATTACATACATAGCATCTTTTTCTTCTGTTTAACTGGAAGCTCTATAAAAGTAGAAACAGTATTTCAGGTTTACTTAGCAGTGCCGAGAATCAAATTCAGGTCCTCTACATGCAAGGCATTATTTTATCATTAAACTACATCCCTGGCCATCTGTTAAGCCTTTAAATATGGAAGATGGTTTAATTGGTTGAAAAAAACATAAATATATAAGATGTCAGTCTGATTGCATTGTATTTTTTGTCATTGGGTCATATTCAAAGGTACACAGACAAGTGCTTTTTGTTTTTGTTTCTGGCCAGAGTCTGCTGTTTTCAGAGCATATATTCCTGGCTCTGCTCTCAGGGATCACTCCTGGTGGGGCTCAAGGAACCAGATGGGATGCCAGGGATTGAACCTGGGTTAGCAACATGTAAGGCAAGAGCCTTGCCTGCTGTACCATCTCTCTGGCCTCCTGTTCCTTTAGGGGCTAGCCCCAGCAATACTGATGGTAGCTGAAGGGCAGGAGTTACTCTGGAAATTCCTACGCCAGTACAGGCCAGACAGTTTAGTACTGAGGGAAGAGGGTACCAGAGTCATACCTGGTGGTACTAAGAGAAATGTGGCAGTGAGGATCAAACCCAGAGCCTCAAAAATACCAGAAATGTGGGGGTATAGTGCCACCAGCAGGTCAATCTGTACCTGTGAGGCGAGTGCATCAGCAGCCTGATGGTGCCTTCAGACTTCCAGATACCCCAAAATTGCTGCTGTGCCTTTGGCTAGACCCCAAAAACTTGGGGCAAAGTTTATCAAGAAAGTAAACAGCCAAAAGTTAGGTATGTGGGAAATGCACCCACAAACCACCTCCAGCTCAGCTATATAATTGGAAGCAAGGTCGCTCTGGTTCCTGATTGAACTGCTTAATGGCCATGATCCCAGAGACTCAGAAACAAATCTCGAAACCCAGCGGCTTTTGGCAGAAATGCATCCAGACCACGCAGTAGTTTACTGTCGCTGGGCGACCCCAGTGGGGAAAGGGTGTTGTCCCTCCACTGGCTCCCCCCTGGCAGCTCAGTGGCCGTCATCTCCAGAGGCCACTGGACAGTCAGGTTTGGGCCCGCAGTGATGAGACATTTTGGGCCTCACGGGATGGGGGTGGAGCCAGTCCTGTCCTCCCCACCCCAACGAGATCCCAAGTCATCACCCATAAACGGCCTCTCTGGCTCCTGATCAAGCTGCTTAACGGCCATGATCCCAGAGACTCAGAAACAAATCTCAAAACCCAGTGGCTTTTGGCAGAATTGCATCCAGACCCCACAGTAGGTTACTGTTGCCGGGCCACCACAGGGGGGAAAGGGTGTTGTCACTCCGCCTGCTCCCCCTTGGCGGCCTAGTGGCCATCATCCTCCAGAGGCCACTGGACAGTCAGGCTTACGCCCACAGTGATGAAACTTGTTGGGTCTCAAGGGATGGGGGTGGAGCCGATCCTGTCCTCCCCGTCCTAATGAGACCCCAAATCATCGCCCATAAACGGCCTCCCTGGCTCCTGATCAAGCTGCTAAACGGCCATGATCCCAGAGACTCAGAAACAAATCTTGAAACCCAGCGGCTTTTGGCAGAAATACGTCTGGACCATGCAGTAGTTTACTGTTGCCGGGTCACCCCAGGGGGGAAAGGGTGCTGTCCCTCCACCTGCTTCTCCCTGGTGGCTCAGTGGCCGTCATCCTCCAGAGGCCACTGGACAGTCAGGCTTGGGTCCACAGTGATGAGACATTTTGGGCCTCATGGGATGGGGGTGGAGCCGGTCCTGTTCTCTCCACCCCAATGAGACCCCAAGTCATTGCCCATGAATGGCCTTTCTGGGTCCTGATCAAGCTGTTTAACAGCCATGATCCCAGAGACTCAGGAGCAAATCTCGGAACCCAGCAGGTTTTGGCAGAAATCCCTCCAGATTTAAGTGTTAAAATTTCGGATTTCAAAATTGTGCAGCCACTACTGCAGCCATGCGACATCATATGTTATTCATAACCAGCAATAGAAAACAAATTGTCTACTGTTGCCTTTTCAGCAGATCTGAGTGTTGGGGTAAAATCTCAAATAATAATGGTGGGTCTGGTGTCAAAATATTGAATGTGATCAAAGTAGAGAGAGAGTAATTTGGAAATCATCTGCCCTACAGGTAGGGGGAGGGTTTGGGATGGAGGGATACTGGGGATGTTGGGGGTGGAGAGTGGGCACTGGTGAAGGTATGGGTGTTTCACTGTATGACCGAGACTTAGACCTGAAAGCTTTGTAACTGCTTTCATGGTGATTCAATAAATAAAATTATCACTTAATCACTTAACTTCCCGTTAGTCGTCGATTTGCTCGAGCGGGCGCCAGTAACGTCTCCATTTGTCCCTGTCGCGTGCTAGTGTAGCCCAATGGCATCTGTTCGCTCCGGGAACATGAAGGGCCTCAAACCGATCGTTCATGATCTTCAGGAAGAAGTCTGACCACCTGGTAGGTGGGCGGCCACACGGTCTCTTGACATCCCGTGGAATCCAATCAGTAACAGCTCTAGTCCAACGGTCGTCTTTAAATCTCATTACGTGACCAGCCCATCTGATTTTCGACACCTTGGCAAATGAGACAGCGTCCCTGATCCTTGATCGTTGACGGATGTCAGAACTCCGGATTCTTTCTCTCAATTGAGTGAAATGTGATATTCCAAGCATAGCTCTTTCTATTCTTCTTTGGGAGACCTGAATGGCGTTCTCATCTTGTTTGCGTAGGGCCCAGGTCTCTGAGGCATATGTTAACGCAGGAAGAACAGTGGAATCAAAGAGATGTGCCCGGAGCCGGAGGTTCTTCGTCCTCTTAGCTATTTCTTCGACGTTCTTGAAGGCGTTCCAAGCCGCTCTCTTCCTCCTGCGCAGCTCGGGTGCCAGGTCATTTGTCATGTTGACCTCTCGACCTAGGTAGACATAGCTGTTGCATTCGGAGATGGTCGTTCCATTGAGAGCGAATGGGGCGTCAGGAACAAGGCTGTTTCTCATAAACATTGTCTTCGTAAGATTCAGCTGTAGTCCTACCTTTCCACACTCACGGTCAAAGTCGGCCAGCATTTGTGCTGCTTGGCTGATGTTTGGTGTTATTAAAACAATATCATCAGCAAAGCGGAGGTGGTGTAATTGCCGACCATCTATCTTCACTCCCATTCCTTCCCATTCCAGTCGTCGCATGATGTTCTCGAGGGTGGCACTGAAGAGTTTCGGTGAAATGGTATCACCCTGCCGCACCCCTCTCTTGACATCAACGATCACTTCTTTGTAGAATGGTGAGATCCTGGTAGTGAATCCGCAATACAGCTCACGGAGGATCCTGATGTATTGGGCTTGAATGCCCTGATTGGCTAGGGCTTCAATGACCGCTTCCGTCTCAACAGAATCAAAGGCCTTCTTTAAATCAATGAACGTTAAGCAGAGCGGCATCTTGAACTCCCGAGAAACCTCAATGAGCTTGGTTATTGTGTGGATATGGTCGATGGTGCTGAATCCTTTGCGGAACCCTGCTTGCTCGCATGGTTGTCCTTCATCTAGTGTTCTGCCAATCCTATTCAGGATGACTCGAGTGAA